GAAATGTGTTGAAAAATCAAGAAATTACAAAATTACATTGTTTCTCAGTATACAAATAAGTAGTATTAAACCTTTCCTTATACAAACAGCGTATCAAAATATGTCGAAATTTTATTGTACTCCTATATTCAAGTTATTATATATGATATATAATGAGATTACCATAATAATGCACAATTAAACTCAAATAAAAATGAAAGTGTATGTTGTGGGTCACCTTGGGTCCAACCTGACCCCAACACAAATGTATCCTTAGAGTAAGCCATGGATTGAAAATTTAATATACAGGTTATTTACAACAATTTCTGTAAAATAGGGCATTATAAGCAGTCGTCACAGAGAACACTTGTTGAGGGATGAGATGCGCATGCGTGCTTACAACAATGATGTTATAAACAAACAGACGAGATGATGCAGTACTACTTTGATAGGTTATTCTCTACAATAGCCTATATAGGGAAATACACGTTTAGAAATTTGTTTCGTATGTTATGTGGCGAACTGCATATATAATGATGGACAATGATAGTATGAGGTTCACGTGCACTCCAGATAAGTATTATATTATAGTTACGTACCCTGTCTGCCTATTTTAAAAACAATAGTGTCATATTGATCTAGGGTTTCTGATTGACAGTTACATGAATTGATATAAATTTGTAATGATTATGCAAAACGATATACAACTGAAAAAGGCGTTGGTATCTATGTGGACCACAAGTGTGCTGATGAATCTATTAAGCAATTGACCAAAAACTAAGAAAGTGATGATAGCACAGCTTTAGATTGCACTAGCATTTGTAACTAGCCTGGTGATCCATTTGATGCGCATTGTCAATAAGATCCTGGAAATGTTTTTCAAGCAATTGTGCACCATTCTACTAGCATGTCTTCTTCTTTGATAAACCATTGTGTTACTACAGAAACTTTGTGCATTACATGTAACAAAATTATTACTATAGAAAAGGAACAAACAGTCAGGAATATTTCTGTTCCTGATGCTCAAAAGACCATAATAATGGATGATTTGTTTAACTTTGCTCAAGTTAATTGCATTTAAACTTGATGATTGGAAAAGTACAAAAGATAGTGGTAAGTTAAGGAGAAAGATTAGTGTCAACTCGGTGTCGAGCAGTGCAATTAAGATAGGTAGGTGATGATCTGTTTAATTTGTAATCAAGTGTGGACTACAGCAAAACAAGAAGGCTGGTGTTAGTTATAAAAATGTCACTTCAGTGATTGAGAATGTTTTCATTGTAATTATCAAACTTTAATAAGAGCATCTTAGCCCAAATATTTGTACTTGGGTTTTCATGAGAGCGCTTCTAGCATTGGCAAGGAATTATCAGTACCTGCACAATGTGCTAAATTGTGTCATGTAGAACTGTCAGTGACCAATGATGCTTTAAAGAAGGTCAATAACGGCAATTTGCAGCATCACCTAACTGTGGAAAATAAAGCACCCATAAAACTAAAATTGTCTGAGCCATTTGTTAAATCTGTTTCACCTATAAAGAAACCACGAGCTATGGTAAAAGTAAAAGGCTCCTTGAATATGAAGCGTAAGGGTAAATCCAAAGTAGCTGAGTCCACTACGGCTACTTACAAAGACTGTGAAACAAATGTTGTTGATATGCCCATTGTACCAATAACTTAATGACCTGATTACAGGTATTATCTTGTTGATGAGGAATGGCAGAGAGAAGCTTGTAATTTGATAGGCCTGAGGTTTGTGCGGACATTTCAACGTGTATCAGGTGGATCAGACGTAATTCTAACTCTACCAGATGCTCTATCTTTAAAGTGCATTAGAGGTATGGAAATTACCTTTTCCAAGTTATGGCTTATATACTCAATGGTTCTGGGGAGTAGCATTTTGAGGTTAGAGAGGCAATAGTTACTCACATGCTAAGCATACCTAAATTACTAAGTGACATTGGGGCTGACTGCTACCAAAACTACTTAACTCGATACAACGTTGGTTATAACAACGTTGAGCAATATCTTGCGCAGAGTCAGATGGCTGTTGATGGGACATGGGGCACTGATTTTGAGATGTCTGTTTTAGCTCATCTTTTGAAAACAGTAGTGTACTCTTACAAGCGAGAAGAAAATTGGATCGCATATTTCCGTCATGGAATTGACAGGACTATACCAAAAAAGATAAAATGCAAGCCAATATACATATGTGCTTACCAGGGTATATGCACAATGAAAGAGTAGTGTACCATTTATGCACTGCAATCACTTGCCTGGTCTTCTTTATCTTTCTGGTGTTATTTTTGAAATATTTTAGTGCATGTGTGACGAACTACTTTTACTGCAGAACAAATTAATTTGTTTTCATATTGATTATTTGCTTCTAATTGTTTGCATTGTCTCTTGGGTTCCACTAAAGTGCAGTGAACCACTTTATTGTAATTTATTTACTAGCACATGGGTGAAAGGTATTGTGTCCCTGTTGCCTGTTTAATGTCATTATTTGAGAAATGTCTACATAGACGGTTAATGGCTTGTGTGTCAACATTCAAGTTCCATATTAGTAAGTTCTTATTATTGGAAGTCTCCTTCTGTAATATAATAGTTCTCGTCTTGTGTGTCAACATTCAAGTTGCATGGTAGTAAGTTCTTATTATTGGAAGTTCCCTCTGTAATGTGAAGCTATTGCCATCAAAATTATGTGGTTGCTTCTTTTTTCTTTAATGTCGATTATGGAAATTAATGATTTAGAAAATAATATTAAGTGAAGGAATAATACTTACAAAGGAAACATAACATTGGAAAAAGATACACCAACTAAAGAGAAAACAGCATTAGCTTATTAAAATTAACTAAATTACGCGAGAAATTTCCTTTTCACACCAATGCTCGACGAAATGTTGAACCAAGACTATTTTTTGTTTTAGCACTGCATATCAACAGATTAATATCTTAACATTGCTAGTATTTAGAATATAATCTTGAACTAACAGCACTTTGTGCACTAAAAATGCTCCCTGTGGCTCAGAATTAAATTTGAAAACTGATAACATTAAAATGCGCGGTTCTATCCCTGTGAAAATAAACCGTTGTGCTGCAATACATTTAAACAAACAATACTGTAAAACAATACTTAGAGAAATATGTAAAGAAAACCTATTTAATAAATAATCATACCGATTGCAAACAAATATATGAATTTAAGTTCTTTTCTACTATGTTAGAATCACTAATTTCTAATGTTTCTTCCAGTAAATAATATTTTAGAAACGAACAACTATCATTGCACGTAAAAGCAAATCGTTTTATCAGTAAAGTATCACCCATTTAAATGAATTAGAAAAGATAGTATTGAGAAAAGGATGACCAGGATTCTAAGTGGTGGATTCTCGTTTATAATAAAAAGTATTAAAGTTTGGGTGTTTTCATTAGAAAAAACAAAATACTGAGTAGTTAGTAAATAATACCAAAATTAAAAGTAACAAACATTTTTACTTGTTGCTTTTGAAATTCACATGTCATGCTGTGTTGTAGCCTACAGAGTGCATAATGCTTCTCGTGATTCATGGCATGCGCACGTTTTACTCGTGTAGCGACAGTAGAGATTCCAATATTAACCGTCCATTGTGTGACGTCATTTTAGTGTCTACTGACAGACACAAAGCCTTAAGATACAGGAAGGTATTTCCACCAATCTGAAGGCTACTTTTAAATTAGAAAATAATAACAACTTTATCTTTAGATAACTTGAGGCCTACTTACTCACAGAAACTTATAACTGTATCAAGATTATTTGTAAAATGTTTGTTTAAAACTGATATTGGTTGATTGGTTAAAATATTCCATATTGATACTGAGCATTGCTTCCTCGCCAGCCAGGTTTGATAATTCGAACTCCGTAGTATGCGCAGGTTGGTTTTAATAGTTGTATGTCTTCCTAGCAAAACTCGAAACCGAATTAAAATCGATTGTATCTAACAAGCGATGGGCAATCATGTTCTTGCCAGGTAACTAGCTTTCGTTTTAAAAATTACATTAAATGATTCCACTTCAAAGTTATTTTGTTAAACAAGTTAAATAGGTGACACTCAAGCTTTTAAGCTGAATATATTCAAATATTTGTTTGTTTTTGTTTTCTTTTTATAAATGAATCAAACGGATGAACTTGAAGGACGATTTCACCATTTAACGAAACCACCGACTTCTGTACATTTTGGTTTATGTTGTTTTTTCTCTTTGTTTATTGTTAAGTGCAAAACTGTATAACGTACTATCTGTGCTGTGCCCATTGCGGTTATTGAAACCCAGTTTTTGGAATTTTAAGCCTACAGACTTATCGCTGAGCCACCGAGGGCACTTGTTTTATGAAAATGTTGTAACAAAAGCAATCCCTTAATATGTTTTTAATGGCGTTTTCAGCCAAAAATTGTCAGTTTTATTTAATGAAATTATTTATGACTTAACTAGCTCTCAGTATGCTTTAACAAATATATTATTTTATCATGATCAAATCGTTTGAAAGATTTTCTTAATGTTGTAAACATTTATTATTGTCCTTCTTCAAAGCTATATTTCAAATTTTTGAGCGCTGTGCGTGGAACTGTAAGAAAATATAATTGAAATAAATAGACTCAACTATCATAAATTTCTTCAATAAAATTAACTGTGGCATCAAATATCTGGTTATGATAAACTAACCATTCCTATGTTACTATACGTTATCAGCCTATGATAAATTATCTCTGCCAGTACTGGGGTTATCAGATTATGCTAAACTCTTCATGCTAGTGATAATTTTAATGTTATTAGACTGTGATAAATTATTCATACCAGATTTTAATGTTATCAGGCAATGATCAACTATTCATGTTAGTTACTGTTTTTGTGTTGTCAGACTGTCATAATCTATAAAAATCAACGTATTTAAACTATCCATGCCACGTAATCACCTTGTTTTATAATACAAAGAGATTATAAAGATAATTTTAAATATCAAATTAAATACAATATATTCCACTCACGTTTTGTATGTCAAAGTGAAGAACTGTCTTGAAATAGGAAGGAATTTCAGTTAGAACTGTGTAAAAACCAAAAGCTGCAAAAAATTTCGTAAAAGTAAGGATCCACACTGCACGAGATGTAATGACCTTTTTCCACGGTACGGGGCGCTTCTGAAAGAAGAATTAATACAAGAATGTTAAAGTTAAACCCGAATTCAGATTGTTTGTTAGAACAAAATTTTTCCATATTTAAAAAAGTAAAATTGCAATAAATATATCATAAATCTTTTAACATATGAAGAGTGTTTAACAATAATTGAAGTTGACTCCTTGTAAAAATTAAATAAATTCTTGAAAATGTACCAAAGAGATTGTAAAGTACAAGATGGTTACATTTACATACGATTAATATTCCGACCTTCAGATAAAAGTCACTAATCAGTATATGGAATAAAGTTAGACTGATTGTTAGGATTTAAACGCTGAAAGCTGGCAAAGCAATAGCATCCAATAAGTCCAAATGTCCAAACATAAATGTAGATGTCTTTATTTTTCAGATTCTCCTTAATCCGCCAATTCAGATTTAAAATTAGAGGCATTTAAAGATATGATTTCAGATTCATCTTTTGTACAACACAAATCCTTTCCCAAGATATTCCTCATTCAAGACCAGAACTCGTCAGCTGGGCTAGACAATGAAGACAAAGGATTTGTATAACATTTCATTTCAGGCTAAGGGGCTAGTGGGCAATCAGGGGGTTGCACCATTTCTTCGGCCAAACTATGTAATTAGACTTAAGAATAATCGTAAGTGTAATGCAAATTATATTTTCAATCTCATCTTCAGTGATAAGTAATATGATTATCAAACAGTTGCTCTACTGTATAATACCAAATAATCAATTGGGTGTAATGCCACAATATTATTTCAAATCAATTTAGGTTAATAAAAGATGGGAGAAAAGGGCTCAACATGTCCACAAATAATATATAGATATAATATTATAATCACATAAAACCCCTTATTAAATTTCCTTCGTTTGCTGACCAAATTTGGCCTGGCATGGCCAGGTAGTTAGGGCTCTCGACTCGCAATTTGCAGGTCGCGTGTTCAAATTCCACTAAACATGCTTGTCCTTTCAGCCATGGAGGCGTTATAATGTGACGAACAATCCCATTATTCGTTGGTAAAGAGTAGCCCAAGAGTTGGCGGTGGGTGGTAATGACCAGCTGCCTTACCTATAGTCTTTCACTACTAAATTACGGACGGTTAGCGCAGATAATCCTCGTGTAGCTTTGCGCGAAATTCAAAACAAACCAAACTTAAACCAATCTCTGCTGGTGGTCCTTGAATAAGCAGAGGGAAAGGAATATATTATTCCTCTATGCAACAGATTATATTTTCAATTTTGCCCTAATCGAGAAGGAATCTGTAATATCAAACAGTTGGTCCACTGTATAATTCAGAATAATACATTTGCGCAATACCACTTCTACCCTCATATTCAGCTCAAACTAACATATAGACCTAGCCTCCGTATTAAAAACTTATTTCAATATAAATATCAAGTACCTAAACTTCTACGTTCATGGCTCGTGTATAAATATGCGTGTAGGAACTGTAAGGTCACGTACATTGGCAAAACAAAACACCACTTAAAAATTAGAGTCTGTGAACATTTAGGAGTATGTAACAGAACCGACCGTCCAATACTTAAACCCAGCCACTCATTCATTCGTTCACATTCTGAAATACAGGTATTTCTCTGTCAATACCATACGATCTTCAGACTTTGGACTCCACATTAAATAAAGCTTACTCTTAGCTAAAGACCGTCCGACACTTAACGACTCATAAAGCTCTAGATCTAAAATTTTCACAATTAAACTCAACTGTTGTGCAATATATATATCTATAATCCTTTGCTTTATTCTTCCGTTTACCACTTCTCTTAAAAACTAAGCAAACTAGTGATTATGATATTATAGTGTTGGTTAACAATTATCTTGATAACACTCTTTTCAGATTTCGCTGAAGATGGAATGAATTTATTCCGAAACGTTCGAACCTTGTAAATAATATGTTTTGTGTTTTATCATTCGTCTTCATTTTCATTATCAAACTTCGTTTTCTGCATCATGGATCCACTACAAGTTATCATTTAGCTTGCCTCTCAAACGTAAGATGGGATCTACGTCTGTTTAGTACGTGCATTCAAAGTAGACCTGTACAGAAAAATAGCTACAAGAAGAATGAACTTTAATAACTTCAAGATGTATTAGATCAAATATCACGTTCTGATGTAAACAAACAAAACAGCCCTCGCAGAGAGCGGCTATCATGCTTAAAACTTCATATTTCCAGAAGAATTACTTTGGAAAATTATAATGTTTACAAACTTTTGCGCTACTGAAAGTTCGTTCAAAGTTCGTGCATAAGAAGAGGAAAGCTTTGATTTGTTTGTTTTGACTTTCGCGCAAAGTCACAAGAGGGCTATCTGAGTTAGCTGTCCCTAATTTTGCAGTGGAAGACTAGAAGGAAGACAGCTAGTCATCACCACCCACCACGAATTCTTGAGCTACTCTTTTACCACGAATAGACATTGAAGGCATCGACTACCCAGTTAAAATATAAGTTTAAAGTTTTCTAGTAAACTTTATATTTCTTTACCTGACTCGATCTTTTTCCTGATTGGCGATATTTTAAAATATAGCTTCGTTCTTCTTCGCTCATGTATGGATGTTCTTCAGGGCTATTGTGGACATACCACATCCAAAACACGAACCACAGACAACCGAGACTCCCTACAATGAGTATAAAGTCACTATGCAATTATAGCCAAAAAATAAGTAATTTTTTGGGGGGGATGGAATCTTTTCACAACTAAAATGTGATATCCGATACCACAGAAACTGAAGATAATCTATAATGTTAAAGTTCAAAAGGCGACATTAATTTCCCACGGGGTTCACTCAGTAAGGAAAGGATCGTAACTTATTTATTTTCCAATAGAATATAAAGAAAAAAGTAATAAACCCAATCTACATCAGATATATCCACACAAAAGAGGAAAATATAATAACTGTTAAGTTTGTTATGGGTTTAACGGGAACAATACTTGGATAATAGATATGGAGTCATAAAAGTTATTGACGACATTGTACGTTGCATACCAATGAGTTTCATAAGATCATACAGTTGCTTGTGGGTAGAGTTTAATGCAAATATGTATCTCATGTGCGAACTGAGTTTATTTAGAATTTATTAGTGATAACGTTTGAATAAAATATTGTTAATAACAAAAATTTATAAGATTAGGTAGTCTAGGTAAAATTAATATAGAATAATAGAGGACGCTTACAATAGATCCAACTATTGGTGAACATGTCGTTTAATATATCGGGGAAATTTCAGAGTTCCGTTATAAGATAGCCACAATAAGACAATTTACAATAAGATATATATAATGATTACAAATCAAGACCAAACCGTATTTTCTATCTTATCTGTTACCACTTCGTTCAACCCCAAAACTCTTGAACGTTTTAACGTGAAAAAGAAGTACAGTAGCTTCAATTATAAATATTCTAAAATATTACATTAAAGGGCTAACATTTAGAAAGATATACTATTGTAAATAGTTTTTAAAAGATGTCTACACAAAATTATTACAAAACTGGAACAAAGAGCATAATTACTTGTACGAACTAAATATATTAATTGTTTAATGAAAACTTTGGAACTTGTACTATAAGGAAATCACAATTTACAAAACTAAATAGATTATCAACACACTTTTGTAAAATTTTGGAAAACAACAACAATAACATTAAAAGAACAGTGTGCACGATCTAAAAACGATGAATTTTAAATCAACAATTGCTGTTTGACAAAACACAAAAAATCAACGGTTTAAGTTTGTTTATCAAACTATTGGTGTGGTTTGATTGACTTATAATCTCACTTATAATTTTACAAAAGTAGATTTATATTAAGTGAAACACTGGGCAAAACATCTCACCTGAGAAGCTTTGAGGCATTTGCAATCAGACGTGATCTTATCACTTTTCTTAGGCTTATAAAAAAAAGAGTTTTGTACATGATACTGGTCCTCTTACCGTAAATATAAAAAGCATACTCCCAACTTAGGTTCTTGCAGATGGCACCAGTTAGAGGCGCAGCAATTAATAAGCCAAACATAGCTCCTTGTCCAGTGATGGCCACTAATACTGACCGTTCATGCACAGGAACCCAACTAGCCAGGAGAGCAAACTTAGCCGGAACTAAAACTCCCTAAACAATGTCAAAACATCGTTTTTATAAAACAGAAAATTTGTCCAGAAATTAGTTTTTTATAAATATTGAAAAGTAAAACTTAATTCTCGAAGTAGTCATAAATATATATCTATGAGTTTGTTCGTTTTGTTCTTAAGCGTAAATCTATATAATGGTCTATCTGTGCTGTGCCTACCACGGGTATCGAAACCCATTTGTTTAGCTTTATAAGCCTTTAGAGTTATCATTGAGTCAGTGGTGTTTATAATTTAACATTTAATTAATAAGAAATAAATACAAACAGTAAATAAAGTTTTTGTTTCTTTTAATTGTCCTTTGATAATCAAGATAACATGGAAAAACACGAAAGGCTACAAACTTATATCAAGTTTCACTTGTACGTCTTAGAACTGTATAACAGACTCATGTTGTTTATTTTTAAGAATTACTCTACCTTTCCCATTCCTTCTATGACTCGAGCCGCCACTAGAGGGCCGATTCCCAACTGAGCTGCAGATGGTTCCAGAAGAGTTAACAAAGAGGCTCCAAACACACCCATGCCTATCACCCATTTCGCCCCAATGATCTCCGCCAGTCTTCCACCTAACAACTGTGTCGTAACAAACCCATAGTATTCAGCCCCAAGCACAATTCCTTGTTCTTTTTCGTCCCACAAAAAGCTTCCGTCCTTTGTTGGAGAAAAATACTATTTGAGCACAGTAAAGGATAGTTATAAAAGTAATCCGAAATTGTCCGATTCGTCTATTTGTCACGTTTTTGCTTGTTTATTTTGTGTCATTGTTATAACATATAAAACAACATTCAACGACAATTGTTTTGTTGAAATGTCAATAAAAAGTCTCTGCCTAATAAAACTGTGTATATAACTGCAATGTAAAACAATACTTTTCGCAAATTTACTGTTTTTACACCATTTATTGTTTTATAAGCAGCTCAAATTCATGCATTTTGGACATAAAAATTCTTTTCTACGTGTGTATATGCCTAAAGCTTACCTTATAATATTTTATCGACAGAGATTTTAAAATTATAGTTCTACAATACTTTTATTTTAATTACACAAATACTAACTGAAAGGAATGTTAAAACAAACACACACAGTCTACTGTGATTTTTATCACTAATATTAGACCTATTGATTTCATTGTTTTCAGGCTTTTGAAGTTTAAAATCTTATACTGCTTCTCAACGTTGTTGTTATATTGTTGTATCTAAGTATTAGATAACGTAATACACACTATGATGTGTAACTTGTAGCACTGTTCTTACAAGTTTCTTCTCGCGTTCCTTACTTCATGTTAAGGTTATTTACATAGTTCAAGATACTTCTTTGAAAAAGACATTTCAAATAAAATATCTTTACTAAGAAATAAGTTTTCCTAGAGTCATTTCGTGTATTTTTCAGTTTCCAATGTTTCTTATGGTTAAAAATATTGCAACACGCCCATTTTTGAGAAATCTAGTATTATCAATAATTATGGTGGGGGACGAGAAAAAACTTAAATAATGTTACATCTTTATCTTATATAATCGAAATTTTTGGGTCTAAACCCTTTGTCTGAAAGTACTTTTGTCAAACTATTAGGCTTCTGGGAATGTGGAATAAGAGAAACGGAAGAAAAACTAATATAAAAATAAAATAAAATAATGTAAAATTTCATTTTACATTACAACACAGGTATTGTTGGACGTTTTTGTGTGTTTACAAATAAAAGTAATTACTCTGAAAACCGAAAATTTAATTTTGAAGGATAACAATAACTAAATGTATTTGAAAAGTACACCTTGTGTTTGTTTTTTTAATTATGCACAAAGCTACACAAGGGCTATCTGTGCTCCGCCCACCACGGGTATCGAAACCCGGTTTTTAGCGTTGTAAGTCCGCAGACATACCGCTGTGCCACTGGGGGGCACACCTTGTGTTGTTATATCTATAAAGTAATAGGAAGTGGAAAAACGTATGATGGAAACGGGGAAAATAATACCAATACAAAAATCACAGGTGCTTATCCAATCCAATCTTGGTAGGTATCTAGGTTTGATAACCTAGGAGTGGTCAGAAATTTGTTGAATTTTTCTTCGCCTCTTTCTTAGTTTATATGATAATTAAAACTCAGCGGACTTGACTATGGTTTTCGTGTTTTTATTTGCTTAATTAAGTGGACTGTAGGGATTAAGCGAGCGGAGAGGCCGTGAGGAAGACCGGAAATGCGTTCCTTTTTCTGTTGTTAAGTTGAATTCATAATAAAGTTTCAGCTACACAAAATGAAAGGCTCAAGAGCGGAGAAACAAGGCGGCGAGCGTCCGCCCCATCTGGCTGTCACACCTCGTCTCAGAAAGAACACAAGGCCAGAACCATAGTTTATTGATAATTCACGATTACAAAATTAGATATAAACATTTGTTATTACATGTAGTCCATTGTTCGTTCCTGGTCGATAATTTGAAAAACAAAATGGCAGAAGTAAGAGGCAAGAAGCTCAAGGTTGTTGATGGCATGTGTTCTGTTTGTATAGTGATGTAATGTAGTTATATGGGAAGATATATTGGTTCTAGGAGGCTGACGTTTCTACTAGTTTAGTGAACTTTGTAGATAGGTCATTTCGATTTTTTGATTTTTCATAGTAGGTTGTAGCAATAGTTATAAAGCGTGTTTGAATTGTCGTTAACTTGTTTATTTCGTGAAGGTGTAAACTGGAAGACTAAACTTATTGCTTTCAATTGTGTGGATTCTAATTTTTCGTAAATATATTTCGGCATGTTGCTCGTGACAGAGCTTCTGTATTGAAATACTAGTCTTATGTATAGGTTGTAAAACCAGCACAATAATGCTAATATATAACCTTTCACGTAACCAATAATATTTGGAGACGACTTGAATGGGTAATGAAGAATCTCTTATGTATAGGTTTAACATAACAGCAGATGTACAACGTTTCGACACAGTTTTTGTCATCATCAGAGTAGAGGGCTTAAAATAGACCCCTTCGGCACGCCTGCTTGTAATGATAAAGAGGGTGAAATATTGTTATACATTTTGACTTTAGCGGTTCTCTTGATTAGGAAACTTGATATCCATCTGATAAATGAAGTAGGTATATTGTATTTACATAGTTTTATATCTAAGGCAATTATGTCAGACAACATCGAAGCTAGAAACCCGGTTTCTAGCAGTATAAGTCTGCAGACATACCGTTGTGCCACTAAGGGGCTGTCAGAAAAGAGCTTGTTAGATTCTAGATGGTAAAGCATTTTTGTTGCGATTATTTGTTCTATTAATTTGCCTATGCAATTAAAAAAGCTAATTGGTCTATAGTTGCCGGGGTCGCTGGGGGTCATTACTTTTCTTAGGAATAATGCTTATAACTGCCGATGTTGTTGGGAGATAACCTGACTTTAATGATAGATTAAAAAGTACGGTGAGGTGTGTAATGAGGTGATCAGACGCGTTTTTTAGGATGATGTTTCTGATGCCATCCTCACCTGGAGCGAAGTTCTATTAATTTTTTATTATTAATTCTGGTAATTGGCCTTGTAATACTGGCATACGTAGGTGGGTTATCTGTATTCAGATGAATTTTGAAATGTGGGACTGTACATGTTGTTGTTTTCTTGTACGTGATTGTTTACTTTGATGTTAGTGATCATTGTTGAAACTATTGATGTTAAGTGTGGTGAAACTGTTGTATATTAATCGCCGAGTAGTTTTTTTAATTATTTATTTTCGTCAGTAACTGCAGTGTTATTTGATAGTATGATTTGTTTGAGCAGATTTATCTTTACAAATGATTTTGAATTTTTTCCAAAAAAGAGATGGGTTTTACCTATTATTGTCTACTTATTGGCAAATAGCCATTTGTAGCCAGTTGTCATCTCGTTGAGAGGTGCATTCAAATAACGCATTTTAGTTTGGTTTGTTTTAAACTTCGCGGAAAACCACTCGGAAACTATTTACGCTAACTGGCCCTAATTTAACAGTGATAGACTAGAGGGAATGCAGCTAGTCAACACCACTCACCACCAACTGTTAGGCTATCATTCTCCCAAAGAATAGTGTGATTGATCGTTACATTATAATACTCCAACGCCTGAAAAGACGGACATGTTTGTTGATAGGAGTTAGAACCCGCGACCCGCAGGTTTCGAGTCGACCCCCCCCCCCCAGTGGCACAGCGGTATGTCTGTGGACTTACAACGCTAGAAACCGGGTTTTGATACCCGTGGTGGGCAGGGCACAGATAGCCCTTTGTGTAGCTTTGTGCTTAACAACAACTGGACTGATTGCGAGTCAAGCGCTCTAGCCATCAAGCCATGAATAGTGTTTGTTTGTTTGTAGTTAAGCACAAAGCTGCACAATGGGCTACCTGTACTTTGCCTGTCATTGGTATCGAAACCCGGCACGACAATAATAAAGTGAAAACTTTTACCAACTTTAAAATGGCTACAAAAGGTATGAGTTTGCAGAAACAGCACAAAAAAAGCAATTGGAATATTCATTTTTTTTTCATTTAACATTAAACTGTGGCCATGTCAAATACGGTTGAGCTAATAGTCTGGATGTTTAAACCCACAACTTTCCAAGCTGACCTACCTTTCACCATTAGTTGTGCTCATGTTAGCATATCAGTAAAAAATAAACATCTAGATCCATTCTTAAATTTTAAATCAAATAACTCGTCCAACTCAAATGACAGAATGTGAATTTAAATACTGTAATAATAAGAACGATACTAAACTTCTAAACAATTCGTCCTTCTAGCCTCTATCCATAAAACTAAAACTAAAGATTGGAAAATACTGTTGAAAATATTTCTGGAATTAACGAAACTTCCTATATTCTAGTTAGCACACAGCACAAATACTATTATGAAATAATGTAAATGGTATTCCTGAATTATTTTTATTCAAAACAAGTGTCAAGTGGCTGGTCATACGATCTGATATACACATTTCAGTGGTATATGAAAGTAAAACTAACATTGTGTTTGCAGTTTGCAGTTGAAACAACAGTAAAGTGTGCAAAGACATCCATATTGGTAATGAAATATTTCAGAACCCAACAAGGGTATTTGAATGTTTCTATAATGTTGAGACCAATCGGTCCACTAGAAACTGTTCAAACACAACAATTTACTGCAGAATGGCTACAAATCTCACAAAGTGACGACCAATACAGTTGAACATAGCTTTATAACGGGTAGACCACCGTTGACAACCACACAATACGGTCTCTATTTGACAATAATGGCAATAGGCACTGGTAGTCCTCAGCTCCTGAACTGAATTGACAGCTCACTGCATCAAACAATCAGAAACCAGTTTCATAAGGGCGTACTAGTCCCTCTGACGTAACTTCATAAAACAGTCCGTTTTCACACGTGTTACAGAAGAATCACCCTTCACATTGCAGCAGGATATGAAATGCGCACATGTTTGAGAAGGGTCTAGACTAAGTCCAACATCAATTTATCACTCATATGACGATAATGGCATACTGGGTTAGGCATAGTATTGGTAGCCACAGTGACATTTTATATGCAGTCTTACAACATTGGTGTTGCCATATGAAGGTGTACCTTTATCTGATAACACACTATACCTAACTGTTTAACAACTTCCTGGATGAGTGTGGAATTCAATAGAATGGACAGGCCAGCACGCTTACGAACTTGAATCCGATTTTGTGCGTACGAAATGCTCTAAGAAGACGTTTGGCAGCACGTAATACACCACTTAGCAGAACTAATAAACTGAAACCAACTCTGATGGAGGAGTGATCGTTATTATCCCAACATTCGCTGTTCTTAAGTTTGCTACATCAATGTACCACACGAGTACTTGTCAAATACGGTCATACGCCTTATTAAGAAACGTTTTGTGATCATTTATTGGGCTGCAAATTCTGTAGTACTATATGATCATTTTCGACATTGGCTCCAAACTATTCAATTACATATCAAAAGACATGATGATCATTTGAGACTTTTTACATAAAATTCAGCACAGAGATGCGACTGGCACTACTTAGCAACGGTAGTTGTGTCTTGTCCTAATTAGAATATAGAAAACTATAATTATCCCTTTGTTATTATTATTACTGGTTGAGGGTACCTGTTAAGGAAGCAAAAATTGTAGAAAAGACAATGTAAGATAATACTTTCTTACCTTCTTTCTTTGGTTTTTAAATTCCTAATGACCTCATTAGATGCCAATTGCATATCCTGCTTTATGAAAAGTAATAATTAACTCATTTATCTAATTAAATAATATGTTTCTTTAAATTCCAAAAAGTCTATAAAGAAGTGCAAATGTGACCTATTTCTGGGTGCTGTTATACCCCTTCACTGGCAAAAATCCTAAATCAAAATAGCCCATGTACACTGTTGGACAGTTTTCAATTATACAAATAATTATTGTAAACCAGGGTGGCCAACTTTAGATGACGTAAGCCAAAGATATATTAAAAAATGGAAGTTTTCCCTCTAACTAGGACTATTGTAATTCCCTTCTGGGTTAAAATTCTTAAAGAAAATTGCCCATGTATATCGTCGAGCAGTTACCTTACCAAAGATTATGTTACATCGACCCAGCCAGCACTTGGTAATGGATGATAGTACACTTAGAGACACAGACACATGTCATCTTTATAGTAATATTACCTAGAATCATTTAAGCAAACTTTCAACATCACTATTAATTTATCCAAATAACACAACAAGAACTTTATTAGTAACATGCAAACGTACCCGTCCCCAGTGATGGAAAAGCTTAAGTTGAGCCATCAATTTATATTATTTCATGGACTTTAAAAAGATTAGCTGTGTTGCACTTTTGGTTTCGCTCAGAGCCAAAGTTCTGAGCTACTTATACCGTCCACCGGGAAGAGGAATTGTTGAGCATTTCAGTCATGTTAAGAGCTGCTCAACAATAACATACGGTAAATCTACATTTTTATTGTTTTGTAATGTGAATGATAGTATGGTTAATTCCTAACAGTTTAGTGTAGAATATCCTGCTTGCTAAATAACATTTGATATCAACATTATTCATGCCTGTTCTCCCGTCATTTCAAAAGTGAATGCTGAGTTTTGCATGTGTACGCAGCTTTTCAAACGGGAGACAGACGAACGCTCGGATAGACACCTCGGTTCGCAATATATATATATATTATAATAGCAAGATACTTGAGAATAGTTTTAACTATCTATCTGAAGTTGGTAGGATCGTGTGTATAGATATGGAAGAAAAAAACATTCTCATGCGATGTATTGCACTTGTATAACATTTTAAATGAGTTAGTATCATTATTCTATCGATAAAATAATGTTATATTTATAAATCGACCTTCTTTACTAATAAATACAAAATTGCAATTTGCTTCTTCATGCGGAAACAATAGTCGTGAAAGATGAGGTAATTTAAACATCTGACGCAGAAATCTGTAAGCTTTTGGTGAATGAAAATAAGCGTTCATAAGCAGGTTTTTTCACCTCTTGTGAATAACATGTACCGCATTTCTTTACTTCTCTTCTATCAAAAAGCCACACAACAAAACCTAAAGCATTTTCGATGAATTTTAATCAACTTCCATTTAAACTTTACTCTTTCATCTTCTTGGTGAGCTCTTCCATACAGGATGTTTTTTCTCCTCCTCAACTTTCATTAGTTTAATCGTTATTCTAAGCAATTGCTTCGTAGGGGAACAAGTTACGGGAAGACTACAAGAGTGTTGTTCAGCATCACATCCTTCACTGTTTGTGTTGAAAATGGTTCTTTAGAAGAAACCTTAGTATATGTGTGCATCCAAGTATTGGTTACCTGTAAGTAGAGATATAATTAGTTTATGACCAGTTAAGGAAGACAGAATTTTGGCCAAAGGTTAAAACAATATGAACATTTAAATGGAACACTATTTTGAGAACTAAACATTCTAAATCAACTAACAATATTTAATACTTGCAACATCTATTAAACTTTATAAATTCTACCAATTTGACAATGATGGATTTTGCATTTAAAATTGTCAGTTAGGCTAGTTTCCACGCTAAATATTAAAATTGCACGAAAAACAAACATCTTCGATTTCGCACTTTGCAGGTTAGAAGCAAATGAAGGAAAAATTGATGCGCAATCGTTCAAATATCGTAAAGCTGCATTTCGACGTATCCATTAAAATAGATGATTTTACGAGTTAACTGATACTACATAAGAAAGCTTCAACCAATTTATTAGTAAAACATTTGTAATGACTTACCATTCCATTCCTAACACACTGTTTTCAGTTATTTTCCTTCGGACTTCTGAATAAGTAATTAACACATACCTGCATTATAGTCATTTTATAAATTGTCTTCAAATATTGACACTTGGTAGAAATCATTACAAATACAACTTGAAAAACAGGATGGTATGTTAAGTTGTATAATAGTGTGAATTAAAATTAATGCCTTATAATACACTATGTACCTGAAAATACTTACTGCAGATGGGTGAATATTTAATTGGAATTCAATCCTTTCTACGTATAACAATCATCCACTTTTACCAAAATCATTTATCTTGTGATGGAAACCTACTAGGACATAAGGTGCTTCTAAGTTCTGATTACATCCAAATCTTTTTCTTACTTCTAAATACACAATAAATGTTACCAATAACTATTTATGATTGCTAATATGTTGAATATTAGCATGTCAACAGAGTACTGTTTCCATCCCAATATCAATAATACTACAAATTCTAAACTAAGTAGTTAGGCCTACATAATGTAAAATTCAGTAATTACTTTGTACTACTATAGCAATACTTAAACTATCGATAATTTACTAATACATGTATATACATACCGCTTACGACGAATTATAATTTTATAATATTTAAAATTGAACGCAAAGTTATCAAAACTTACGTACCTATGATAAGAGGCCGAAGTTTCTCCTTTTGTAGAAACATATTTTCCCCTGATGGATCAGCGGTAAGTTTACAGGCTTACAACGCTGAAATCCGGGATTCAAGTTTACGAGGTGGAGACCGTAGAAAACCTAATGTGAAGATTTGTACTAAACACAAAACAAAATAAAAAACAGAAATGTTTTACCACCCAAATGTATAACAGTTATGTGACATTCTCCCAGCATTTATACCTAAAAACAATGGCGCTCGACTGGCACGCCCCGTGAATGACAGTGATTTCTCCAAGTTATAACACAAAGAGCTCACTGGAGAACGTTTTGTGAATAGGGGAGCACTTTACGATAACGAATATAACCGAAGCTTTGAGATGAAGTTGCAAGATGCTATTGACATGCGCATTTGGATTTAACTGCAACTACAGTAATTATAAAACTAAGTTTAAAACATTTTTATATTACTATCCTTACCTCCATTTTTCTTTTTCCAAATATATATCATCTACAAGAGGACATTCCCTGAAGACACTTTCGTTTTCCTGATAAACAGATAAAGCTCTGAGAGCAGTATGATTTACCATGGCGACCATACTAATACTGAGAGAAGTCCTAAACGAGTACATCATGCAGATGGCATAGAAGACAAAAAATGCCACTGCGTATCTGGCCCTACAACATCCTGCAAAACGAAAAGGATATCTGAAACTAAATTTATGAATATAAATATATATCAATTAAACTTCTAGCCCTATTTTAGTGATTATACTGATTTAAGCTAAATACTTCTACAAAACACGCTTTAAATGTTCCTTCAATTATCACATATTGTTCAATGTTCAGAAAAAGTTTCATAAAATAGTTCCTGTCTGTTGATTATTCCTCACATTTATTTGTGCAATATCGGACTCAGAAACTACAGAATTTAATATATATTTTCGCGAAAATGATTCAATTGTTGAACTGTTAACGATAATTCAATAGGTACGAACTGAAAATTGTTTCATGCTTTGGAGAAGAAAGTCATTTTACTGGACAAGTATGTTAAAGACAATGACGAACAGAAAATCTATTCAGATTGAGTCAACTGGTAAGCTACTGTTAAGTTCGATGTTATGTTATGTTATTATTTCACGAATGATATTTAAATTTAGAGAAAATATAGATCTGGAATCACACTGAAACATTTTCTGAATTATGACAACCATTTAATTTGTGTTCTACAAAATACAGAATATTGGGTTAGGAACCCAATTTTATTTTTCTTTGAACATTAGAAAACACTACTAACAGTTATAAAATGTTATATTTGATAATGTTTCGGTGGCACATCAATAACTCTGAGGGCTTATAACGTTAAAAATTAAGTTTTGATAATTATGTTGGGAACATCACATATATCCTATTTGTGTAGCTTTGCGCTAAACAGAAAACACAGCAAAGAAAAATACTTTAACATTTTAATTTGCTAGAAAGTGAGTTCCTCATTATCAATCCTTAATTTACGTTTAGTTGTAAAAAATGTAAGATGAGATGCTAAGAAAGTATGTAATGATATAATTTTAGTTTTGTTTAATAATTAAATATGATTTAGAAAATTTTATATTACAACTGTAAAATCATACCGATGTTCTCTTTAGGTAATATAAATACATATCTAGCAAGATATTTTGTTGACGATTATAGCCCCCCCAGTGGCACAGCGGTATGTCTGCGGACTTACAATGCTAGAATCAGGGTTTCAATACCAGTGGTGGGCAGTTGTAACGTAATATCTCTCTAACAGGTCTTTAATATCCATCCACAGTACTTTGTTTTCTGAATTTGCCTAGCTAGGAAATTATTTTGCGTCTAACATTAGGAAATGACTCAGAAATTTGCGTTTTTTCATATAGTATCTTGTTCTAAACAGAAAACAGTTCTCGCATCAGTTTGAGAGAACAGAATTATTTTTGTTCTTCATTATTTTGTAACAATGTCATATTACAGAAGAGGTCGAACAAAAAATTATAAAAGGCTCAATAATTAACTGGATGAAATCAGACGCCCACCATTAAAATAAGTAAAAGCGTTTCGATAGTATCGCCCTCCAGTGGCACAGCGGTATGTCTGCGAACTTACAACGCTAGAAACCGGGTTTCGATACCCGTGGTG